CATTATCTGAAAAAGGTTTAATTATATTCACATTATATCCATCTGCCTTAAAACCCTTATCACGTCAGAACATGCTGAGAAACCTACTTTCCAAACACTGAACCTACAGAATCCCTTGTGTAAATCTGCAAGTTTCAATGGCTATTGGAACCCAACAGTGCCTCTAGAGGCCTTTCTTTGATTTTCCTCTGCCCCGCCTACATTGAGTAAACAGAAAGGCCATTATAACTCTCAGTTATCTGGAAACCCATTTGATACTTTGTAATTTTTGGCAGAAAGGTTTTTTAATTACTTGTGGTCCTGAGTCTGTGTCTGAGCTATTCCCTCTCACTTAGCAATGTTGACATTGGTATTACCTAAACATTTTTTTTTTGGCAGGGCAAACCAGCTGAATTCCTAATCAAGACAAGAAAATCTAAATACAGAATATCCAGAATATCTCAAAATAAAACACATTTGGTCATAGATTATATCCTTTCAGAAAATTTGCTGTTAACACTAGAATTTATTTAATCAAAGTAAAACAGATAGGATAAGCTTTTTTTTTTTTTTTTTTTTTTTTTTTTTGACAGGCAGAGTGGACAGTGAGAGAGAGAGACAGAGAGAAAGGTCCTCCTTTGCCGTTGGTTCACCCTCCAATGGCTGCTGCGGCCAGCACGCTGCGGCCGGCGCACTGCACTGATCAGAAGGCAGGAGCCAGGTACTTATTCTGGTCTCCCGTGGGGTGCAGGGCCCAAGCACTTGGGCCATCCTCCACTGCACTCCCTGGCCACAGCAAAGAGCTGGCCTGGAAGAGGGGCAACCGGACAGAATCCGGCGCCCCGACCGGGACTAGAACCCTGTGTGCCAGCGCCGCAAGGTGGAGGATTAGCCTAGTGAGCCGCGGCGCCGGCTAGGTAAGTTTTTAAAACAAGAGTATGAACATTGATGCCACTGGAAGAAGCTAATGTTTTTGATATCAGATTCCTTATTAATAATTTTCAATATTAATAAGCCTGTGGGCTCTTGCCAGGTATTCAGGGAATTCTGAATACTGGCTCAAGTAGACCAGACAACATTTTAAGTTTTTAAGGATTTTATTCAGCAAGAGAAATGTGCAGGAGAGTGAGGGCTTTGTTTACAGGAGAAAGGGAAGTCTAGATGCTTAGTTGGATCCATTCCAAGCAGAGAGCAAGCCTGGATTGAGCCACGTGGAGCCACATGGAGCAAGCACGCAGGCAGAAAGGGAGCAGGTAGGGAGCAGGCAGCCTGAAGGCCATGCACCCCGAAGACCAGGGCAACAAGCTAGGGGCCCACCATGTTCTGGGCCTTTTATCCACTTCCAAGTGATTAGCAGGTGGGCGTACAGGTGTGGTCAGGTGGGGACATGAGATCACATACGGGGCGTGGTCTTCCAGCTCACAAACCTAATCGATTTTATCGTATCTGCCTGCTTATATCATTTTCAATTTCACATCTGCATCATGAAAGGAATGAAAAATGTACAACCTATTACTAAATCCTTAAAAAGAAATTTTCCAAATACCTGAATTAGTATACCATAAGTCTTATTAAAAAAAATGTATCAGAAATGTTGTTTTTTCTGTACCACATGCCTCTTCACACGCAAAATGCATTTTGAAATTAAAAGAAAGATCAACATTTCAAAAATATGTATTCATTTAGAAATGTAAGTGTATAATGTAAGTGTACAGAAAGATAATTTTCCACGGAAGAAATGCACGATCAGTTTTTCTTCAGTGTTAATAGAAATTATTCTCTATCACAGCATCTCCTTATCTTTTGATTTATTATGTATACTATGTATACCATGTATCTTCAGGTTTGATGTAAACCACCAAGTTTCAAGTGGTAAGAAATGCTAAAAATCTGCCTCTGTTTATTTTTATCTTTTTTTTTTTTAAGCTCTTCTGATTTCCTGATTTTTATGATGCCACACAGGGTGGTCAACAGGTTTTTTTTCTATGTTAAAAAATATACTAGATATCATCTATTTGTTCACTTAGGGCCATTCCCCATCATTTCCATTTGTCCGAGAGACTGTTGGAGTATCTCTGAAGACTCACTTAAACTCTACTGGTTTCCCATTGATTCAGGCCAATGAGAGACTATATGGGTGATGAGAGGATGAGAGGATGCGATCATGGATCAGGGAATGTTTCCCACACCCTCTCTTTTCTGTCTGCAGAATCACCTGGCACTCCTTTGGTCCCTCAAATGACTCCTTCAAGGAAGTCCCTTCTATACTATCCTAAGTTCCTACACCTGGTTCCTTCCTCACCCCTCCTATCTGGCTTAGTAGTGGAAACAGATTGCTGATGATAACCGCCTGGGAATGACATTGCCTCTTGTAGCTTCCCTGTATACTGACCACACTGTTGTAAATTATCTTTTCATAAAAATCCGATGCTATTTTGTATGTTCCATTTATTTTCTTCAAGAAACTTGAGCTATACAAATAGGTTTTTATGCTGATTTCTTTAATTATAGATTCTCTACACCACTCCCAGATCCAATTCTTCTTAATAAATTTAGATTGCTCATGTGTGTTTTCTTTTTGTTTAAAGATATGCTTCAATGAGTCCCAGTAAGCACAACTTTTATCTTTTTCCACCAATTTCCTATTTCTATATCCCCCAAAAAAATGCTTCAGTAAAATAAATTGAGCTCCAAGTGTTGTTTTGAAATGTAGTAAAAGATCTGTGAATGAAACCTTCACCAAATGAACAATTTGCATTTGAAAAATAATTTCAATTATAAATAATAAAATATTATTATAGCAACTATTTACTGAGAGTCTCATATATTATCGATTGATTTAAACCTTTAAACAATTCTTGTGAGGGAAGTATTTTTATTATCTCACTATTTTGGCTAAATTTCAGCCAGAAAACATAAAGCTTAATAGTAATTTTAAGAGAAAATTGAATATAAAGAATTATGCATTAGATAAGCATGGTTCAATATGATAAAGAGGTAATAGAATAAATACAGGAGTAGCCAAGGCATAAAGCAGTTATTACCCATTTTATGGGGATTTAAAGAGCCAATGTGCAAAGGGCTGGAACAAGGCAGGTTTTGTTGAAGTGGATGCAGCTATAGGCCTTGGAATAGCAGAGAAGTTCCCTGCAGTGTCTAGTATTAAAATGATATGCAGCAGGCGGGTCAGAACTAGTAACCAGAAGGCTGAAGTTCTTTCCTGTGCCGCTGGCAAGCTCAAAAGACAGTGAGTAACACATGTCTTCCATGTAACACAGGCAACTGGTCATGTCTTTTGGTGACCCTTCTGTGCCTGGTCCTGGAAAGGCCTAGAATTGCTCCAGCTTAAAGACATTTTTTTCCATGGTCCAGCTTCTCAATCAAGAAATTGAGCAAATAAGGGGGAATCTAGAGCTGAGAGGCAATAGATGGGTAAATGAAATATCCTCTTCATGATTTCAAAAACTGAAATTTTTTAAAGCCCTATGACTAGTGCATGCAGAAAGTGTCAACCCCCATTCTGAATTAAACTCTCTTCTTAATTCCCAAGTACTATTTTGTTTGAGTAACAATCTGCTCAGCCATAGGATTCATACTCCATATAAGATTGTGACTATTTCCATGTCTACGACTTTAAAACAACTTTCTTTTCAATTCTGCTGGCAGCTAGATTTCCTAACATTTACATGATTTCAACCATGAAATAGTTGGCAGGGGAATTCAAATGTGCAACCACATGAAGGCAAAAAGTAACCACAGAAAATAGAGGAGGTACTCATTCCATGGAAACCTTTTGCTTACTTTAGGACTATTGGAAAGTGTCTCTTTGTGGCCTCTTGGACTATATTTACTCCCACGGGACTCAAATACTCCATGGATGAAATTCATACATGGTGCCAAAACTTCCTACTGCTGAGTATTATGATTTTTTCCACTTAGCTTTATTTGGACTTATATTAAGTTATGCCTCACCTGTGTGTAGATAGACATTAACGATTTAGTATCTGTTCCTGTCTGGCCCATTAGGTTATTTTTGATATTGTAATAATTATTCATATATTTTAAAACAATATTTGCTCAATGTAGAAACTTTAAATATACAGGGATATTTCAATTTAAAATAATAGATTCCTCCCACTTTTATTTATAAGATGAAAAACTTCCATGATGCAGACTGGTTAAATGTTCATACGGTTTTGATATCCTCAACCTATTGCTTTTAGATTACCCAATGATACAGTACTTAAAACCTTAAATGTAACTAAATCTGTCTAGCAAGCTAACCACATACAACTTGTCCAATGGTTTTTTTTTTTTTTTTTTTTTTTTTGGTCAAGAAAGCCCTTCCTCTTACTCTACAGACATACTGATCTCTATTCTTACTTCATTTTAAAAATGCTCATTGTGCAGTATTTAACAGGGCATTTTTACCTGGCATGCTATAAATTCTCAGGAAAATCTAAATGTCTAAAAGCCATGTTTTGTAGGAGTGGACAATAGCATGTTTTGCTAACACAATCTATTATATCAGTTCCCAAAAAGTCCCTCAGCAATCTGCAGTCTTGTGAGTATATCAGGGGAAGCATACTCTCATGAAATCTGTTCTAATATCTAACCTGAAACCGGTAATTTTGATTTTTTTTTCTGTAAAACAGACCAGTCTGAGCAAGTCTCATTGTATATCATTGGACTGCAACAGCAGAGAAGTCAAAGTAAGCTTTCTCCAGAATTAGCCACTGTTGTCACTCAACCCATCATCACTAGTTATCATTGGATTTCGCCATTTTGAATTTTTAACATCTGTGTTAAATTTAATCCTATGTCCTTATTCCAGTGTTTCCACACTGTACGTCACTTTCTTACTTCTCTGATTTTTTTTTTTTTTTACTGATTTTCACTTGAAGATGAAAAAGAAGCAAGAATAAAGGCAAAGAGGCTGAGATAGAAGCCTTGGGGCTGGAGGTCGGCCCTGAGGCTCTCTCCCAGAGCTGAGAACAAGCACCCATGCATAAACACCAACATTATATCTTCTATTTTCCCTCTTGGGCCACGAAAATATTTTCTTCTGGTCCTTTGTGAAAAAGGTCACCAATTATTAGACTAGAGCATGGGTGCCTGAAAGCATTTGCATAATTTTACTCAGTGTCCAATTAAAGTTGGATCCATGCTATTATGCTGTAATCATATTTTTAAGGCAATGTAGGCATGTCTCAGGGTGATAAAATGTATTTCTTTAGCTAAAAATTATGCAATTTTTCAAATACTGGGAAGTAATTAATGTACACAGCAATAATATTAAAAATATTTACACAAATGAGTCCTTTCTGACCTTTGCTCTCAAACATGTGAGTGTTCTCAGCACTTTTTCAGTTCAATTTTCTACACTAAAATATTATGGATCGATTCCTTTACTCACAGTGAGGGGTGGGGAAAGCCATTTTATTGAAATAACAATATCAAGCTGTAGAAGAGAAGGTCAAGGTGAAAGAATATAACGAATGCCTATGAAAGCAGGTTACAAGTCAGTTAATAAATTAGAGATGGCAGGTGACATCTATAGGTGCCTGTCCTCTGGATATTCTTGGAAGAATAAGTTCCTACCATGGTTGTCAAAGATTATGCATCACTCGAAGAAGTTCATGCTAATCAGTGTCTGAGTGACATTCTCCTTGGATCTCTACAAGTCCTTCACATGAGGCTCAGTCATCACTGAAGAAACATAAATGGAAATAAATTAAATTGATTCTTTCAGCAAATTACTTTGCAAAATGCTCATCAATAAGTGTCCTTTAGAAAAGTGAATAAAGAGGAAAATATTTTGATCATATTTGAGTTAATTCACAAAACAGGTTAGATGTTAGAAAAGTAAGCAAAAGTGCAAAGAAATTTCTCCAATGAACCAGAACATCACTGATTATTACTTAAACAAAATATACATGCTTTGAATTTTATTGTATTTCAGATATAAATAATTTAAGAATAATACAACAAATATTTATGCACCTATAGAGTCCTTAGCAATGACCTCCAGTAATGGGTAATCCAAACTCTCAGATGAATCCACGATCCTGTTAATTTCCTTTTGGTCCACTCCCAAAGCATAACTATATTAAATGCATGGGGGGGTGGTATATATTGAAATGTGTATCTGCTCTTTTATTTTTTCTTTCTTTTATTTACTTTTATTGATATAAAGGGAACAGATTTCATGTATTTCAAAGGCACCATACTTCCAATGTTTAACCATACTTTCTTTCCTCCCCCTCCCTCCTCCAACCTCCATCCTCCCCTCCCTCTTTTCATTAATTTTCACAAAGACATAATTTTAATCCACTCTACAATCATAGGCTTAATTCACCACTAATGATAATATTCAACAAGTACAAAGTAGAATGACTGCACTTCCACAGGAATATAAACAAGGGCTAATCACATCACAAGATATCCATTTCATTCCTATAGTTTTTTGTATTCTATATCAATTGCCACATTGCTGAGAAAACATATGAGATTTGTCTTTTTTTAAAAAAAAAAAAGATTTATTTATTTGAGAGAGTTACACAAAGACAGAAGGAGAGGTGGGAAGGGGTTTTTTCCATCCACCGGTTCATTCCCTAATTGGCCTCCACAGCCGGAGCTGTGCTGATACAAAGCCAGGAGTTAGGAGCTTCCTCCGGGTCTCCCACATGGGTGAAGGGCCCAGGGACTTGGGCTATCTTACACTGCTTTCCCAGGTGCATTATCAGGGAGCTGGATCGGAAGTGGAGCAGCCAGGACTTGAACCGGCACCCATACCGAATGCCAGCACTGCAGGTGGCAGCTTAACCCACTACACCACAACGCTGGCCCTGAGATTTGTCTTCTTGAGACTGGCTTATTTCACTAAGCATAATGGTTTCCAGTTGTCCTCTCTTAAATTCTCAGCTCATACATAATTTTTAATCATATTTTGGGGTTAATTTTTTTCTTATTTGTATATCTGGTTCTTTATATGTTCTTTATATGTTCTAGATAATAAATTTTGGATTGTATAACTAGCAAAACTGTCCTTCTAAGCTTTGATATCTTTGAGAAATAGAACATTGTAATTTTAATGCACTCAAATTTATAATACTTTTACTTTTCTCTGTATTTTTTGGATCTGTTTAAAAGCCCATTTCCACTCTAAGAACAGAAGCATCCTCCAATGTGTCTGGTGAAGATATTAAAGTTGTACTTTTTACATTTAGATTTATGTTCCACTTAGACTGATTTATGTGCACTCTATGATGTAGAAATTTAATTTCTTTTTTCTATTTAAATATCCATATTTTTAATGGATACATACACTATGATTTTCAAAGTATTTGATTCAGCATGTTTATGCTGTATGCATTTAGTAGTGATATTGGCCTGGGTACTCAGGATATCAGACTGCCAGTACCGACAGCTTTAAGAAGTTATTGAACAAATTCTGTAACAGTGCTTTGTTATACCTTTAACTACCTATTCTACATAAACTTCCTTTCTTTTTCTTATTAATAGTATTCTATAATCGTCAATCACCAATGAGTATTAAAATCTATAAAGTTACTAGCTCTGTGAGGACTGTAACATGGGTGAAGCAATTGATTCATTAGAACTTATAAAGTTAGGGAGATCTTGAATCAAGGGGAAACCTGCCTCAGATTCTGAAGCATAAATTAAAATGACTCAGAGTCAAAGGCCTTCCCAGGCAAAAGTAAGCTTAGAGGAAGCACAAAGACACGAAGCTCTAGGGCGCTCCACGAGAAAGAGAAGGCGGCAAGAACTAAGAATGGGCCTAGGTCCTCGAGGAACTTCTGTGTCTTGAAAACAAGTCTAGAGGGTATGATATCAACATAGAGAACTACAGACAAGTTTGGAGGGGGTGTGAGGGTTTGGGAGGGGCTTACACATTAATATTTGTATGTATTACAGAGAAAATTCAAATAGTAGTGTGTCTGTGCTTGTGTGTGCATATCTGTACATCTGTGCATGGCAATGCTGGAGAAACTGGATCCTGTAGATAGGAAAGCAGTAGTTTTAATGCTACACCAGCTCTAGATAAAAGTCCTCAAGGCCTGTACTAAGGTAGTGCCAAGGAGCTGGAGCAGAACTAGGCAAATGCATGAATTCTCAAAGGAGAGAAGCCTGGGATGTAGTGAAAATTGGATGTGGGGAAGAGTAAACTCACAAAGCCAACCAGGTGTATGCTTTGGTAGATGGTTGATAGCTGAAGGTTAATGACAGAATGGTAAAAACCAGGTATTATAAGATGAGTAAACACTAAGATCTGATGAATCCAGTTCAGTAAATAATTACTGAAAACTTGGTATTTGTCAGTCTCTAAGAACTGAGCCTTTTTACCTCAGAGATTACAAAATTAAAATATGAATAAATATACAATGATGTTTATTTGTATGAAATTATGTCTTTCTAAGGTAGTTGGATAAGACTTCTTTGCTACTGAAAATTATAAAACAAAAGAATTTTCATTATAGCTGAAACACAAATATTACTTCCTAGATGGAATATTAAATTCTGTAAAGTGCCATGAATATTTCAAAACATTTTTGTTTGAAGTGTAAGAGAATCGTATAAATCCAGTACAAATCCATTGATATGAAAATTTTAATCTGAAGGAAACTCACAGTCAATTACAAATGATGTGATTTGAGTATTTCATTTTCTACCTATATTTTACCCATTTTTTCCAAATGTTATATTGTAATCATACATGAACTTTTATATTCAATGAAGAAAAAACAATATAATTACTTTAAAAGTCCGAATTTGTTGACTGACACTTTCCCTCCAAAATATTCATTCCAGACCATTGTTTTTTTGTCAAGACTTGAATGGCTTAACACATGCCTTACTCTTTTATGTGGCATGCAGTTACTTCTCTGTAGCTTAAAACTAAGGCACAATGCTTCTCTCATCTTTGCTTTGTCTCTGCACTCATGTATCTAGACATGGGTCTTTTTATAATACATTTTCCTGTTACCTTTTTTTTAAATTTTTTTTTATTTATTTGACAGGTAGAGTTATGGACAGTGTGTGTGTGTGTGTGTGTGTGTGTGTGTGTGTGAAAGAGAGAGAGAGAGAGAGAGAGAGAGAGAGAAAGGTCTTCCGTCCATTGGTTCACTCCCCAAATAGCTGCTATGGCTAGCGCTGTGCGGATCCGAAGCCAGGAGCCAGGTGCTTCCTCCTGGTCTCCCATGTGAGTGCAGGGGCCCGAGCATTTGGGCCATCCTCCACTGCCTTCCTCGGCCACAGCAGAGAGTTGGACTGGAAGAGGAGCCACTGGGACTAGAACCTGGCACCCATATGGGATGCCAGCGCTGCAGGCGGAGGATTAACCAAGTGAGCCACAGCACTGGCCTTCCTGTTACCTTTTTAAAATATTTATTTATTTATTTGAAAGGCAGAGTTACAGAGAGCCGGGGGTGGGGGGCCTGTCTCCCACCCACTGGTTCACTCCCCAAATGGCCACAACAGCTGAAGCTGGGTCAATCTGAAACCTGCAGCCAAGAGCTTCTTCCCGGTCAGTCTCCCACATGGGTGCAGGGTCCTGAGGACTTGCGCCATCTTCTACTGCTTTCCCAGGTCCTGGCAGAGACCTGGATCAGAAGAAGAGCACCCAGGACTCAAACCAGCCCTATATGGGATGCTGGGGCTGCAGCAGGCAGCTTTATCCATTATACCACAGCCCTGGCCCCTCTGTTATTATTTCAGCAGCTGTTTTAAGAAATAGCTAAACAATAGACATGCTTGGGAAAAAAGATTAGGTCGCCATTCTTTTTCTTATCGAGAATAATTTGAATAACTCTCTTCAAATTTTTTTTCACAAAGTCTCATTCACAAATTCTAGAAATTTGAGTATTTTTAAAAAACCTGTTAATCTGCACTTATGAAAAATGCCTAATGCTATTCTGGGAGACCGCCATCTATCAACACCTATCTCAAATTACCCCTACCAAGAAATAGATGATGCCACATTGTTGTCCAGTAATACACATGCCTTCTTCCCTTTTCTAACCCTGAAACTGACTAAAATGATTTGAATGCGTTCATGCTAACATCCCATTAACCATTCACTGCTTGTGTTAATTTACTCTGCTTGATGGAGAAGTGGCCGCTTAAAAGCCACTCAATATAAGCTTTATAGTCGTGGGAATACAGCCAAAAATAACTCTTGTTTCCCACCTATGGTGCAAAAAATATTAAAGTGGACTGTCTCATGACTTTGTTGAAGGCACGCTGGCTGAAACTGGGAGCTGCACACTCTTGCCTTAATCAAGAGCCCACTGTGAGTTGGGTTATAAAGACATTGAGGAACCCCTGCCAGCAATTAACACAAGACATGCTGACCATACTTGGCAAACCTGAAGTAGGAACCTGGTGCCAGAAAATCAAGATCAATCTTGAAAACTGCGTGGCCATCTGTTGGCACTGCCCATTCTTCCCGCAGTGCTCAGAGATGACGCTAACACCCGTGGTGCCTGCTTGAATAGATAGTGCTGCGCTTTAGTTTTTAACCATGAAGAAAAAGCTCCCTTATCCTGATGTTTTGTTCCTCCCAAGTTCTGTGCAAAGTAAAAAATCTAGATTTAATGAATTAAACCTCACAAAATGAAAGCTTTCTTTACGTTTAACATTAGCAAGGCATGTTTATTTGACTTACGAGAAATAAATTCATTGGGACT